AATAAATATGTATATTATATATATGATAATATATTAGGATTTACAGGGTATTCTCTATCCCATATCATCCAAGTTAGTTATTTAACTTTGTAATTAGATTTTAGTTAAAACTAACAGCTGTATCTATGACGCAATGCATTTGTCGCTGACTAAAATTATAAAGCACAGGGTACACTCACACTCCTACACACACTCACATTCGTACTTACATAGTTACTCACACTCACACTCACTCACACACACGCGGGCAACACATTAGCAAATCAATTATTTATTTATTGTTCTGTATKCGAGTGTCTGTGTGTAATTGTTGCTTTTGTTTAAGCCTTTGTCTAAATTATTCAGCTAGACGAAAATTACAAATTTGTTGTGCGCGTTTTACACTTGACCAACAAATCCGCAGATAATTTCTAACCAACTGACAATTGCAGATTTTTCGGCCAAGGCCCTAATTAAATAATCACCAAATTATCAACGCCGCCCACCCCTCTCCCTCTGCCCCACCGTTATATAAAATGTGAATGAATTAACGAATTATTAGTTATGGTCAATTGTTGTGCCATAATTTGACAGCCATCAATATAAAAATCCGATTTGCATTAAATTTTTAGAGGCCTTTTTTTTTTAGGGTGACAATGTTGTCAGTCTGACAATGAATAAAATAGAAAAAAAAAATTGCGCGAAGTTCTCAATCGACACGTGTCGATAATATGTCCACCAACATTTGTATATGGAAATATCTAAATATATAAATTCTATAAAATTTGCTTCTATTTTGGGTCGGGTATTACCGACTACAGAATACTTATTGAATACTTTATTCGATTTGCTACACCCGTAGGGGGCGGATCGGGATACTTTATACATATAAAAGAGTAAAGGGACCTCAAACCCAATAAACTCTTTTCATACTCTTTGAATTAGTAGTATAAATTCAAGCATTTAATGTTTAATATATTTGAAACACATATATCTTTTAAGCATCTCAATAAATAATATGTACATAATCTTTTATTCTGAATAAAACGATATTTATGCTTTTAATCTACGTCAATAAATCGCATCAAAGTGTTTTTGCCATGACAACCAAAAATTATCAATTAAATAGACAAAAAGTCGTAAGTCCCCCTTGAACTCTTGCATCGATAGCTATTGAATGAATACATAAATTGTCTAATACTTTTGGCCACATTCAAATCAATAGGCCAAACAATAAGTCGAGCCAAGTGCCTCTTGCAGGCGCCGATACGTTCGAACTATGGCTGCGAAAGCAATGCTGACAGTGAAAATAATTTATGCCTTTGTTATAAAATGCGCACCTGCTCTGTGCTCTGTACTCTGGACTCTGGACTCTTTACTCGGGGCTGTGGTCCGTGGCCCTTGCCACTTGTCACGCCCATTTGGCCGAAACTGGGGTGCAGCCCCTCTGCAGTTGTTGCTGCCGCTTGTAAGTTGGCTTTTTACCAGGCAGCAATAAGACAAACGCCATTAAACCAAGGAACTGGAACTGAATTGGAGCAGAGGAATGGAGACAGAGCAGGAGGGAGAGCGAGAGACATGGACGTACAGCAAGTTGGTTAAGCTGGCCAATGACTATGAGTAAGAGTCGTTGACAAAAAGGCAGCAGAAGCTGAAGACAGGATGCGGCAGGAATTGGCAAAGTGCTACTGCTGCCTGGCTGCCTGGCTGGCTGGCTGGCTGCTTGTCATTAGTCAGCCAAGGATAAGCAAAAGGACATGGCCATAAAAAGGGCAATGCGAGCCGAGTGAGGCAACTAAAGGTGTGTCCTCTGAATGAATTGCTGAGTAACCAATAATGAAGTAAACTCTGCTCCAGCGTCCTGAATGTGTCATTGTGGCCAGAACGAAACTCAACCGAAGCACAATTCACTGTCAGTTGCATTGTTTTGACCTGATTTACATGCCGAACCCAGCTACAGGCCAATAGAACAGCCAAGAGACCGTTCAACGCAGAGCGAGAGCGAGAAAGAGAGCGAGAGAGGGAAGGAGAAAAAGAGACATAGATAGGATAGTCTTGTGGACATTTATAAATTACAAAAGGACAACTGCTGCTACTGCTTCTTCTGTTTCTGCTGCCAGCCAGAACTCACAGACGCCGATGACAGGGCCAAAACAAAGGCCAACGTTAATGAGCCAAGAGAATGGCGCGAGCCGTAACAAACGCTCCAGCTACAGCTCCTGTTCCAGCTAGAGCGTCAAATAGAAACGGTCGCAAATTGTAAGAAAGCAGAAACTGTGTCACAATGTTTTGACACAGAGCAAAAGGAAGCACAAGGATAAAGCCAGAGGGAGACGGGGGAACAGCCAACAGCCAACAGACGGCAGCAGCAGGACTAGCTAGTTAAGGCAACAGACAAAGTTGATAAAATTAGATTTGTATGGTAAATAGTTTCGTGGCTTGGCAGCAGTTGCTGTCGCTTCCTGTTCTATTCTATTCTGCTCTGTTCTCTTCTCTTCTCTTCTTTTCCCCACTGTTCTGTTCTGTTCCACTTCCTCGACCCAGGCCCGAAGAGTTTAATAAATGTATAAAATTAATTAGCCAGTTGAATGTTCATTAACAGCTGGCTAGACAACAAACAACTGACAACTGTATTAAGCTCCGCCCCTGCCCTAACCCCACGCCAAGCTCTTCTTTCACTCTTCTTCCAGTCGGCGCTTTTTGATGCTCGCAACGGGCTCTGCCAGCTGAAACCAAATTCCCCACTTAACACTCATAATTCAATTTTAATGTAAAAATTTACAGAATAAAAACAAAAACAAAAACAAAAACAAAATGAACCGCTCTCTGCTCTCCTTTTCCGACTGTATTTTTCACACCTATCGCGGCCTCGCCAGCCACCCGCTGTGTGTGTTTTAACCATAAAGTGAAAAAAAAAGAAATAAAAACGGAAAGTGAAAAACTCCCTAAATGTTGACCTTTAACAAACGTCACTGTAGGAGCCTCATGTTGTGAGGGTTGCGTATTCATTTCTTCTTTCTTTCATTGTTATTATTATTATCATTGTTGCATTGGCTGGCTGCATTGGCAGCAAACAGCGCTGACCACAAAAGTGCCGGACAGCAGGAAATGAAATCAAAATTATTTTTGGGCATTGTGGTAGAGTAATTGGTTTTTCAGTCAAATTCCATTAAATACAGAAGACCAAAGGCTGCTGCTGCTGCTAGGAGGGGAGGGGAGCGGAGTGTGACGATGAAGGATATTGAACGGAAATAATATTAAAGCAGCATAGCTAATAGATTACGAAAGATGGGACCAGCTGAGAAGGAAGCGGCGACGGGATCAAAAACATTTGCGGTTTCTTCTGGAGAAGCTTAGTTTGTGCTTCGAATCTGTAAATAAATAAAGATGCATTCGTATGAAAACATGTACATATATCGAAGTAATTAAAATTATAATCACTATACTATAAAGCTAATCAATTAGGTATAAAATTCTAGATTAAATGATGTGAATTTAATTATTATTACTTTATTTTATTATAAATACTTTTTATAATTCAGTCAGTCAACAAATCTGACTAAAGGCTGCAAATAAATAATAGACAAAAATCAGCAGCTTTTTTTTTATAGGATTTCTAATAATTGTAAGTATTTAAAAATAATTTTTTTTTTTTTTTTATAAATTCCATATATATATTTATAATTCATTTTAAGGAAATCGTAAATAGCCATCAGTATGTTTCCCTTAAAAGTGAGCCTATCCAATATCTAATATCTGATACCAAAATATTAGTCCATTTTTAAATAATTTTATAAATTATTTTTATAAATTAAATTTTTACATCATTTACTGTAAATTTAATCGACTTTCTATACAGAAAATAGTAATTAGATTTTCCAATGACAACTGAGCTCAGAGTTCTGGTAAAAATTCTGGTAAAAATTTAATTTATATAATTCAGTGCCAACACTTTTCGCTATTGGCAGCTGTAATTGAAATTGGTTGATGGAATGGGTGTACGAATGTATGTGTACGTGTGTGTGCGCGCATGTATGAGCAGCACTTGAAGCTATTTGGCAGTCAA